TAATTCCAATATCGCTGTATGCCATCTGCTGGGACTGGAAACGGAAGAAAACGCCGAACTTTTTGGTGGCACCAACAAATCAGGCTCTTTGGGCTTCTTGGTTATAACTTTTCTTGAATATACAGCACAAGTGCAGCACAAGTTTTGAGTGTGATAAATATGCCACTTGTAATTGTTTTGATATCGCAGGAGCACAGCAGGGGAAGCCAACGACACAGCATTGACTTGGAATATCAACATAAACTAATTTTAATCAGTATTAAAACAGACTTCGTGTTGAAAGGACGAGCCACAGAGCGCTTTGTCAGGTACTTCTCCGGATTCAAAATGCCAGCTACACGGACCAGTAAGCTTCTTCCAACGACCAACAAAGACGAACCAAAGTTGTCAGTAATCAAAAGATTGGACTATAAGGCCTTCGCGGTAATCAAAATAGAAGTTGAAATGAAATTGCTGTTGTGAGGTTAGTACTAAGACCAAGAGGCAAGTGCACAATCACTTTCCAATGCCTATGACACAGTAATTGTGTTCCCATACCATACGTTCCCTTGCCAAAACTATTTGAGGCTGGGCCGTTGGGTCAACGAACACTTCACGCATAGTTCCCTGGACAAAACGTGCCCCAAATTCATCAGGCATCAAGGAGTCACAGAGTCAAAGTAATCCAAAAGAAATATACAACTCCGTTCAGACAGCCAGGAACTAACTTTTGGATTATAATATCTAAAAAACAATACACAATTGTATGTCGTACCCAGCGTTAATTCCAGTCATCTATGTGTTTCCATTTAATTGTAATTAAAAGACAAAATGCTAATGAATGTTTAAATTGACTTGAGATATGAATATCTGGAACGCGCTGTGAGTCCATCTGGTCTCGATCTTCAAGAACTTTGGAATAGTTCAGAACTGGTAAATCGTTCTGGACAAAATTCGTTGTGGATGTGCATGAGGATGATTATTTCATGGCCGACAAGCTCAAAATCCCAATGCAATTTCGGCTCCTTTTGGCTTTAAGCTCCCGTGAGAACGACTTGGCAACTTTTAATGGCCTCACTAATACATTTAAGACTCTGCACAAGCACACACACACACACAGAGAAGTTGGAGTAGTGGTAGGGAAAGGGAAGGGGGGATTTCCGGTGCTGTATACAAATAATTACATGGCAAAATATTTACGTTTTGGTTTCTGGCTTAGGAATATGCAGCAAAATAGGCCAGACAGACAGACTCCCACCATCAAGAAGGAAGGAACGAGCCAACGGTGGATAGGTAAATGTGTGGTGTGGAGGGATGCGGTTCGGGTTGTGCTGGGGCAGCAGCTTTTTGGCCACTTCATATTTCATAAAAACATGCATTATGACTATTTTATGAAGCACGCGCCCAGCAGTTTGGCATCCAGGATGCAGGACCACAGCCAGACCAGACCAGACCCCGGACTCGACGCGACTCTCTCTCTCCCTCTCTCTCTCTGGTGGGTGTGCGTTACCGTTACCCGTTTACTGGGATAGCTGCCTACTTGTATTCCATTTATATAAGTTGCCATGGTCACACACACTCAGCCAGCTGTGCGTTGAAGTGTGTGCCTCCTGTTGGTCGTTCTCGCTCTCTGCTACCATAAACCTACATCGTTGTGCCGGGCCTATCTGCTTTATGGCTCAGCGATTTCAATGGATTCACCGTGGCCCAAACAAAGGACAAGCCCATGCATTCCTGGCCCAGGGGCCCAGGGGGTGTTCGGGTTACAATTTCGGCAGCAGTGAAAGCGCTCACTGAGGAGCAACAAAGCTTCAAAGCCTCCAATGCGCACTTGCCCCCAATCACCCACATAAGCACACATGAATAATCATAAATGTGAGCGTCAATAGATGACGAGGCTCATCTCTACCGTGCTTGACCCACAATTGGTAATTAATAATTCAACCATTCTCCCGTCACTGAGTCCGGTTGTGAGTGCGAGGCCAAGTCAATTGCAACTCGATTGGCGGAAACATCATTTACATTCCCCTTGTGACTTGCCTCAAATTCAATATTGACATGCTGCTCCTGTCTCGTCTTCAGTCCTGATCCCATCCCCATCCCGATTAGATTATGCTCATGCCTCATGCCATATTCATTTCAGAAAGCGACAGCCCAATACCCGACTGGCCACTGCACTGGGCACTCGACTCTTGTTGAGCAATTAGCTGATTATGGGAATGGAATGGAATGGAATGGAAATGGCAGCAGCCATCTTATAAAGTGGTTCTGCATTTTGCTTGCATTTCATTTAACATGTTTAGCTCGCACTCGACCGCTGCCAAGACAGCCGCTGGGTCTGCTGGCCTTTGCTCATTTGGTCGATAGACATATCCATAATGTCAGATAATAGCCATCATATCCTTTGCTCACAATGCTCCTTTGCTCCTTTTGATTCTCTATCTACGGGAATTATGCGAAATCAAAGTAAACTCTGACTTATGTGGTACCTTTATAATATTCATACTTCATTTGGCACTTTGACTGCGACTATCCTTAAACCATATTCAAATGACCGCAATCACCAGAATGCTAGCCTCGATTTACGACTTCTGGCTGCAGTTTATGCAGGGTTTCAGCTTTGTGATGCGCTACACCGAGCGTTCGAAGCTATTGAGAGTGTTGGTCTGCTGCGTTCTGTCCATGGCAATCCTCAATATTGTCTGGCCACTCTTCTGCGTCATCAAGGCGGTGACTAAGTACATAGTTACCTGGAGGCTGAAGATGAAGCTGGCGCGACAGCCGACGCCCATTAGCATTGTGCGGAGTGCAACACGCAGGACGATGCTGGGCAGCCCGCTGGTGTGGCATTACTACGACAAGCTTCCGATTGCAATGCTGCTGGAGAACAACGGCAGCACGGTGATCCTGCGCATCAGCTGCAAGTGGCATTCGATGCCCCACCTGAGTGGAGGTGGGCTGGCGGGCAAGTACCACTTCGTGGAGGCGTGCTTCAAGTGGGGCGCTGAGCATTCGATAGATGCGCAGAAGTTCTCGCTGGAGATGCAGGTGCTGCACCGCTGCCACCAGGGCAGCGTCCCCTTCGAGTGCGTGGCGGTATCCTATCTGTTTGCCCACGGACACGGCCACGGGCACGGGCACGGGCCATTGAATCAAATCACTGAAAGCCTTCGCTGCGTCGCGCATCCCAACTCGCACATGGAGTTGCCGCCCTTTGATCTGGCCTCCCTGATGTCTCCCTTCGGCAGCAGCTTCTACCGCTACGAAGGCACCTACGACAACGGTGGCCAGGTCTTGCCCACCTTGTGGCTGATCTGCAGCGAAATCTTTGCCATCAGTGCGGTGCAGTCGTCCCAGTTCCGTGCCCTCCACGGTATCGATGGCAAGAGGATCAATTGGAACGCGCGCCCGGAGCAGCCGCTGGGGAATCGCTGCCTCAGTTTCTACACTTTTTGATGTTTCTATGCTACATAATTTTATTTGTGGAGGGGGCTAATTGATTGTTATTCTGCCTTCCACACTAAAACTAGTTCAAAAATCATTCAAGCTTGTTCCTCACGTGCCTAAAGTCTGTGCAATTCAAATCAATTCCAACATCAAAGTCTAGGCTTGCATTTCCGAGATGTTCCGAGAAGCATGTTGATGCCTGAGAAATCTAGTCGGCCTTTGTCTGTTGCTCTGGTCAGAAATGAAGTATTTGACTGGCTGTCTGCCGTACTCCACTGGAGTGCCTCAGTGCGTAGTCAAAGTGCAGAGGAAAAATGCTGGCAGAGCATGAGTTCACCTGGGGATTTGGTTCGTTTTGTTTGCATGCAGACGGGGCTAAAATTGCTGGAATGCCTTGGGGCTGGCAGTAGCTGCTACCGTGTGCTGCGGTGTACTCCGGCTACTGTAAAAATTGTCTAAATTAATTTTCAATAAACGCCTGCTGGGCAAAAAGGGAATCGAATACTGATTGGCTTAAAAGTTCCGCCAAAAATTACCACAGAAATTCGCTTTGAAATCATACCGAAACGAAACCGAAACGGAGCAGCACTCTGAGGCGGACCCTGGAGCCGCTGGCGCAAATCGGTGAATTCCTTAAACCATCCGGTAGGGTAGGGAATAGCAAGCGGGCAGGGCAGACAGCCCCACTGCTCCTGCCCAATAGGTATTCAGTTATTGACTGCCATCCCAAAGCATTGGCTGAGCTGGCATAGTTGGCTTTTGGCCACTTCAAACACGTACAAAAGGCAGCTGAAACTGAAGCGTAAATCCAGGAATTCCTCCTCCAGGAATATCAAAGGATTATCTTTGGTTTTGCTACTTGTATATAAGAAATTATCAGCCGCTATGCCCTGCCCCTACCAACTCCCACCTTGGCGCCTTCAGACTTTTTGAACTGTTAACCGGACGGACGGCTGCTTCTATTACGATTTATTTCAGGCGTAAGACCAGCGAAGGAAATATTTGTGGTAAAAGTTTAAAATAATTGTTGAGGCAACGAACCATATAGCGTCGAAAGCGGGGGCGGGGCAGGGACTTATAGTTGTGGCGTGGCGCCAGGCTGACGGCACACGCAAAGTGTAAGAATGGCAAAAGCTGTGGCTGGAACAGGACGACCAAATAGTTTTCACTTGGAAAATTGTTTAAAGTTTGTCCCGAATCTTGTTCCCCGACAGCCAAGCGTATGCATGTACATATGTAAGTAAATATGGTGATGCTTTCGAGTGGCCACAGGCTACAGTGGGAGTCGCATCCCATCCGAGCCGGTGGCTGTTCCGTCAGCAGTTTGCAAGTCAAATAATTAAAACGAGCTTTGAACAGTTTCAATTTGGATGCGACTAACAACAAGTTCTGTACGACATGTCTGGGTGCCGGGTGCCGGGTGCCGGGTGCAAAAATATAAGCGATAAAGTCAAGGCAGAATGCGCATCAATCTCATCGCTGAGAGGTGATAACAAACCAGTTGTCGTTGCAGCAAAAGCTGCCTAAGAATGTCAAACTGTCTGTGAAGATGTTAAATCCAGGTAAATGCACAATTCATTTTGACAAGCATATTTATTTTCTCATTTCCTTGGCAATTCATTTTTATTCATGAAAATCAACGCCGTCAGTCAACACAAACATTTGAAGTCCTGGTACTCGGGAGCCTCTAGCCGGTGCGAATATACTGGACATTGTCGGTCTGGACCAGCACAGTTCCAGCTGCAAAAGGATGTGCGTATCGTAGGTAAATTTATTTAAATGAGCTTTATTCAAGATTAGTTCTGGCATTCTCCCTACTTACGCTTGGGAACGGGCTCGGCATTGGCCAGGGCGGCGAGCATGGCCAGGAGCAGGGCAGCAGCTTGGAAGAACTTCATGTTGATTTGGTTGGTTTTGGTTTTCGGTACGACTGTGATACTGATGCCCCACTGCCGACTGACACGATCTTTTATAGCTCGACGGGCACCGGACTGCAGAGTACTGTTCTCGTACTGGGAAATTCCCTCCACCCAGATCGGGGGATTGCACAGGTTAAAAGAGCTTCTTAATCTCGTTAACCGTCAATCAGAGCTTCGCCTTTTGTTTTATGTGCAATGTGATTCGTGTTAATCGCGAACCGGTCTGGGTTTTCTACGCGTTCTATTGATGCTGATTATAATCTGAAAATGTACATTTTTACATATCTACATATGTACATATATGTACATGCATATCAATAGAGAATACTGCAAGTCTGAACGAGATTTGTTTACAATCACGTTTCGTAAGTATTATCTTAAATAGACACGATTTGTAGCACTGCATATTAAGTTTTATAGCTGCTCTTTTTCTCTGGAAAACCTAGTAAAAGTCATTCAGAGGAAATATGCAAATTAGAAATGCTTTCGAAGTCAACTAAACACAATTAAATAGAGTAGCAGATCGATTTACCTTTTTAATAGTTCAGATAATCGAACTAAATAGGTTTCATGTCTGTTTTATTAAAGTAAATACAATGTGAGCTACAGCACTGCATGAATCCAAATATCCAGTGGGTTTCGGGCTTTAAAGCTGCCAAAAAATAATTCTTATTGAGGAATGAAATCAGATGGATTGCATTAATTGGTTTGGTTTTCCTCCACTTATTATTTGCAATCACATTATCAGTGCCTTAGAGCACCCGATCGTGACCCTGGGGTATTTTACAGTATTGGAATTTCCGAAGCTCAATCAATGCGCAGTCTCGTGGGTCTGGCGGGTATATAAGCGTCGGCCCTCAGTGTCGGATAATCATTGTAGAAACAGATTTTACAGCTTAATCATGAACTGCCTGAAGATCTGCGGCTTTGTGTTTGCTCTCATTGCGGCCCTTTCGACTGCGGAGGCTGGTAAGTGATCGGGAACAAATTTTCTAGTTGGAATTGATTGCTTATCAGTGCACCTATCGTCCAATTAGCTACCCAAGTGCTGAATGCTGGCGGCCATACCCTCATCCAAACGGACCGGACTCAGTACATCCGCAGAAACTAAATGGACCTTGGAAATAAAACAAATAAATAGTGCTTAAAACAATTTCTCCCCCTGTTTTTGAATTCTCAAAATTAGTCTTTAGACGATGGCACGGCCTCACTTAATATTGCAGAAAATACCAGATTTTGTATTTGCCTGTGGTGCTCATTAGTGTTGCCAAAAAGCTGTTATTGCGGATGGCATGAAAAACTAGGTGAATTCGAATCGAGCTTAGAGCAGAGCCAATAGCTTTTTTATAATATTACTAAATAGTACTTGTAATAGTGCTAATGTGCTTCCATTGTACAACAATTCTGTACACAGAATTTACTCAAAATTAGTCAGTTGGCAACGATAACACAGTTTTAGCTATAAAATAGCTGAACTGGCAGCACAGAAAACACATGAGCAATGCCAGCGCTGAGCAAGATCAACAGCTGTTCGACGCTTCTTTTCGAATTTTGAGTTGTTTTTATTGACTAACATAAAATCAAATCTGTACAACATTTAGCTGCTCTCTGGAAGCGATATTGATTGCACTGAAATTCCATCGACTGAGGCTGGAGAAGACAGGTTAGGGTGAGTCTTTCATCGACTGTCGTAGCGTAGCCCGGGCAAATTACAGAATATATTTTGTTTCATTTACAGAGTAAAGTGTTCAGCAGCTGTAAGTGTCTACAGCTTCCTTGTGAACACCAGCCATATCTGTAATTTAATCAGATTATCGGCTAATATTTGCCTACCGAATAACTAACAGAGCTGAAATAAACCGCTTAGGGGCCAATTCAATGGTTGTGGTTCTTCTGTTTTAAGCCGGCGACGACTTCTTGGCTGCTGCATCTTATCTCGGCGGCGGTCAATAAATGTGCGCCAGAGGACAAACACAAGAGTCACAGCTACAGTCACATCCACAGGCACAGCCGCAGTCGCAGCCACAACAACTAAAGCAGTGGAAAAGCCGCAGAACTCAACCACAACAAGCCACAATCGGCAATCATCAACACTGGGGCGCCACAGACCGAGGAAGGCAAGGAAAGCGAGGAGAGGCAGGGCGCCGGTTGCATTTGGACAACGCCAACGAACCAGAAACACCCGCGCATAAGCCATGACAGCTGTGCCAGCCCCTTCTGTCCCAACACCCCTGGCACCCGCCGCCGTCGCTTCCGTCGACGCCATGGAGCATCGGCATCAGTCAGCCAAGACTCTGAACGCCCTGCTGGACCTGCCCGCGGAGATGGAACTGCGCCAAATTGAGTTGATCTATCGGGCGGAGGGTAATGCAAATTTGGTGCTTGCCTTGCCGCAATTTAAAAAAGTTTTACGTTTGCCAAAAATGATATCCAGCAGACAGCAGCAGCCGCCACCGCCACCGCCACAGCCGCAAACTGAGCAGGAGGAGGCTCGGCAGGAGGATGAGCAGGCGGCAGGGGCAGAGCCAGAGGAGACGGAAGAGATTGGGCGGCCGGAAGAGCAGTCCGACTATTCTGCCAGAGCCCAGGCATCAACTATAAAAGGTTCGTACGTATGGCATATAAGAATCCGTTTTATTGTTGGTGCTCCACGCTCCAAGCTACTCTCACATTTCGTTTTTTGTGTTCTTGTTGCACAGGAAATGGTTGCGTGCAACTTCAAACACCCAGGCAAGCTGCTGGCCCATCCCCGCCTGGTGCCCACCTCCCCCTAGCCAGCCAATTTGTGTATTGTGCTTTGGTTATTGCCCGCTTGGCTGGCTCTTGCCTTCCACTCTTCCTACATCCCACGTCCACCCAGTTGCCCATCTCACTGGGAATCTCTTTATCTGCTGTGCATCTTTTGGCCATTGCATCAAATGTGTTTATTTCATTTATCCACATTTCTCTTGTGTTCTCTCGGGCTCCTCCTCGACGCCCTTTCAGCTGGCGACTTGACAATGCCGGATTTTATGGCTTATATCGGGATAATGCGCCGTCTATTAGGAAATGAGTTTGTCTGCGGAGCGGATATTGTTGCCATACCAAAGGAAGACGATAGATTCTGGATAAACGAGCACATACGCGCCCACAGACCGAGTGAGTATTTTTACAGTCAATTCCTGATAAATGGAACTAAGAAAGTGCAGAGAAAAGTGGTCTCCAGCGAGGTATTATAACACCCTTTCAAGATGTTTCTAGACGTCTCCTCGCCTTTATTATTAATTTGTCCTGTCAGAAGTGCTCCACTTGCAGAGTACCCACTGTTTTGGTCTCAAGTCCTCCCTGTGTGTGTGTGTCTCTGCTGGTGTTTGCCCATTGTGGCAACAATTTTGTATTTGATCAGCTTTCGCTGCAGTGCATCGCATTGGCCTTTGTCGCTGTCCCAGGGCTCGCCCTGGCCGCTGTCCAAAGCCTTTTAGAGCCACTGCAATCAATCATAAACGAACAGTTTAGTGCTTCGCCCCGTACCGGACCGGACCAGACCAGACCTGACCGGACCAGTCCCTTTCACTGACGTTTACGATGCGATGCACACACACACAGATGGATGCTCCTTTGCTCCAGTTTCGTTTGCCATCTCCGGGGACTGATTAGGGGCGGTCGTCAGTGAGTGTGTGCTTGCCCAATAGTCGTGGCCATATATCAAAATTGGGCTTATGCCTAGTAGCCAGCAACAGGCTACACGTTGCACTAGCCAACAATTTATCATTCGCCGCCGTAGACTATAGACGGTTTACTCCGGCAAGGGCAGTGGAGGTAGGAAGGCGGTCTAACCCACCGGCCTCGTCTATATATCAATAATCGCCGTAACCGAAGCTTTAGTCGGATGCTGGCGCTTACACTTTACATTCATTCAGCCGCCGCTTGCCATCATCTTTGCTTCATTCTTTTTTATTTTTTGCGGGGTTTTACCCCGGTTGTTCGTTGCAGTTGCGCGTCTGGATAAGGAATTTTTGGGGCAATTCGGGCTGCTCCTGCCAGATGTGACCCAATTGCCTGCCACGTTCGATGTTTTACTTGGCAAATTACAGGTGAGTCGCCATCGTAGCTGCTCCCTGATGCTGATGCTGCTGTTTGGACCGTGGCGGACATGGAGATGGAGCCCAGACCAGCCCAGAACCGTGTTGCTGCTGCCCAAATAAATTGTGTATTTTGTACAAGGACAATATTGGCATTTTTGGCCATATGTGCAGGGACACGTTAGATGCCGCCGCCGCCACCGTCACCGTCACTGCCGTGGCCGTTGCGGTTTCGTTTGCCTTTGTGCCTTAGTATCCGCCGAACCCACTCCCAGTTACTAAACCATCGGCCACGCCGTGGACCCTGGCCAAGGCACATAAATCAACGGTTCTTTGTTTTGAATTAAAGTGGGCAACAGTGTAAACACTTTGTTGGTGTTACTAGCCATTGGTGTTTCTGTTTCTGTTTCTGTTGCTGTTGCTATTTCTGTTTATGTCCGAGAAGCTTGCAGGACACGAAGAACGATGTCCATTTCCCACTGCCAATGCCAGTAGCTGTTTCGATTCGTTTCGTTCGGTTTTTGGGGTTGTGCGGGTTGTAAAAGACGGCGAAATGGCTTTGAAAGTGCCGCCATAGCTGCAACTTTTATGATGCTCTGCACCACAAACAAAAAGCGGGCCAGAAAAGAGTGCTCCTTTGGCTAGTACCCCACATCAGATTGAGTGCTCAGCCATAAGCCTGAGAGTCCTGTTCGAGACGCTGCCTTTCAGAGTATTCGGCGGGTCGATCTACCTCCCGTTTTATTTTTGGGCTTTCGCCATTTTTGTTGTATTTATTTGCGCGCTTCCCACCGCTCTGCTGGTCGGTACATATTGAATTTATGGCTTTGGTGCCAAAGCATTGACCGAAATAAAATTGCAAGCAAAGGAAACAAACAACCAGCGAAGCAGGAGAAAAAAAATAGAAAATAGTAGGTACATATATGTGGCATAACGTGTGGCCATAACTAACGCCATATTGTGCGGCGTACTCCAGAGCGGAGGGTCCGGATCACCCACGAGTCTGACAAAAAACTTAGGAACCCGAATAAAAAAGCCCCTTAATTGCGGCATTAAATGTTAATTTTCAATTTCAAGCCGCGAACCGAGAACATCCCGTTTGCCACCTGTACTCCACTTCACTCCGCTTCATTGTCCTGTACTCCATTCCGTGCTCGGCATCATGGCTCCATAACTCATCATACAATCAGCGCAACAACTTTTGTTTTATGTCACAAAGGCAACAGCAACAACAACTCCAGGAACGGCGATAGCCTGACCCATGGCCTACCCATGGCAACTCCCCACCCAGGCCCGGCCCCTTATTCATGAAGTTTATATACCCCGTACTCGTACATCACAGGGGAGTGTATGGCATTCGAGTAGATGGATGTAACAGGCTATCCAGGCAAACTTACTGTCTCACAGAGTTCCTTTCTGGTGCAGCAGTCGATCGAGATCCTCTGAACGAGGCTTACCACACTGAAAATTGGATACAATTGAAGTGTTATCCCCAGCCCTTGACCAATTAAAGGTCGTATATTAATCAATGAAAATCCTTTTCCGATTAACGGATAACATTTAGTCTCAAGAGTGGACCTTTAGCCTTTGCAACTCTTTTTTGTTGTGCTCTTGCTGCGCTTGTCGTTGCATTTTCAAGTCAAAATGGCATCAACGCCAGGACAAAAGTTGGTGGTACACGGCAGGCATAATATTTCATGGCAGTACATGACGGAACGGGCACCTTCCCTTTTACTCCATTTACTGTTGGACCGGAGCAGCACCAGAGGGCAGCAAAAAAGAGCAAATAAGCCAAGCAATATAATTTTGCAGGCAAAGGGCACAACAGGAGATGCCACAGGAGCAGCAGGAACCAGAGCAGGAGCAGGAGCAGGAGCAAGAGCCACAGCAAAGGCAAGGGAAACGGCAGGAACACGAGGTGTCCATCGTCTGGGCGATACATATGCCATCGAAATAAAACCCAAACAAGGCTGGCTCCAGTTGGCAAGTGATGTCAACGATTTATTTGATTTAATGCCAGCAGGACCAGAGACAATGCCAAAGAGGAGCAAGGGCGAGGAGAATCAGGAGGCAACAGGAGTCGACGTGGCGAAGTCGACCCGGGACAAGTGCAGGTGTCGCTATTGCGGCATGCAGCTATTGAAGGTGAGTCATCGGCAGGTGGAGATGGGAGAGACGCTCTTAGTTTTTCATTTGATTCTTTTCGACAGCTACGCAACGGGAAAATAAAACGATTGGGCGACTACTGTCCTTTGGAGCTATTCTCCGGGTATGTCATCGGATCCCGGAATGGGAAGCGGGGAGCTGGCGCTCCTTTGGCACGAACATTGAGTCATAAATTTCCATCTGCACCATTTGCGTGTCCTGTCGTGCTTCATAATTCCAACACTTTCGGCTACTGCCTGCTCCGTGCTGTCGGTGCCACCAAGTGCACTTTTTGTGTGCTCTGTATTCCTTTTCCTTTATTATATGCCAGGACCCTGTCTGACCTCGGCCTCGGCATCGGCCTGGCCTGGCCTGAGCCGGTCTGGTCTGGTCCACTTAAACTGCAATCCCAATCCCAGTCCCAGTCCGAGTCCCCCATTCCTCTCATTTGTTTATTTGCGGCCCGCTGTTTCAAGTCATGCGTGCATCCGTGCACAAAATTCAATTTGCTTGCGCTTTCATTCCGGTTTACCGCCTGCTACGCTTCCACTTCCCACACCTCCGCTTCTCACTTTATATAGCAAAAGCTCCCCATCAACCACCATCCCCCCCCCCAGCCTCCATCGCAACCTCCTTTATGGCCTCACGCAAATTGTTGCCATTTCTTTTGCTTCTCTTTTGTCTGCCAGCATCTTTTATATATCCCATATGTACATACATAAGTTTTAATAGTATTATTCATATGAAGCAGTCCAGTGCGTGCCACAACTATAGTGCCACTGCGTCACACTGCCACACTTCCAAAGAATAAATAATAAATATATAGTTATCTCTTCTCAGCCCAATTAAATATTCATTATTTATTCGATGCCATTGCGTACGCGTATTCGATTTGGTTTGATTTATTTCACATTTGATACAAAAAAAACCTATGACCGAATAAATATATAAATCAAGGCTCGATTTCAATATCTCTTCGGAGTCCATAAATCAACTAACAAGTAGTAGATCCCACTAATAAAATCGTCTATTCATGAATTAATGCAAATGTTGACTCAAGTGTGAGCTCTCGATTCGTGTCGTGTCACACTTGATGAATTAGTTTGCTTTCATTTGGTACAAATATTTACGAGTCCTTAGTGTTATGATTCGCACCGTACGGGTATAAGCGGATTTTAGTGCTGTGATCTCTTTTCATTGTTTTTCATCCATATTTTATTTTTGTAGCTCACCCAGTCGTATGCTTGATGCCCTGAATGCACTTTTCGCCTGCCCGCAAAATAATTTACGTGTGTTTCAGGACGGCAATTTAATTTATGGCGATCACGCGAACTCGATTTCCTTCGATGAATTGCACTCGCGTGTCTTTCCCGGGTAAGTCAGCCCCATCCAGAGTGATGAGAATGCCAAAGGAAATTGATGGGCAAAGAAAATGGGAAACATCGCATGCAAAGGCAAAGCACGGCAAGCTACTGGCACTCAAGACGCAGCCAAAAGTAATCCAAAAGTAAAGTAAAAGTCAGGGGACACAATTAACAGTGAGCAAGTTCATTCCTTTCCAAATTGTTAGTTTAATTTTTAATTAATTTCAACGCAGAAGATCTTCTTGTTTGCCTTTAAGCTTGCTTCTTTTTTAAACATTCATTGAAAACTATTTTATCTTTTCTAATAATTACATTCTCTTTGGCTTATGCCCTGTCCGCTTACAATTATTTCCATAGCTAGAGGAGAAAAGTCCCATAAAACTCGGCGAATTTGCAAATATTCAATAAATAATGCAGAAAGCTAAAGCCAAACACAAATTCTCGAGTGTCAAATGCCGAAATTGCCATTGCCCTACTCCTGGTTGCATTCTCCCCTCGAGTCATTCAGCGTTTTCTCACCTCCAGTACCTTCATGCCTCTACCGTTCTCCCTCTCTCTCTCTCTCTCTCTCTTTTTCTCTGGCTGTGTCGTTTCAACACCTTTTGGCACAACGTTGACAACGACCACACGAACTGGGAATGGGAATGCGCATTGAAAATGCTAACAAACAAAATTGTACCAATGGCAACGCCAACACGAACGCCATCGCCTTCGCCGTCGCCGTCGCCATTGCCATCGCCATGAAATCTCTGAAATTCTCCAGTGAAATTATGGTGCTTATAAAACATTTGCTGGTAGCCTGCCTGCTCAGGGAATACGAGGTGAGTGCAACGCAGAGCTTCGACCAGGACCACAGTGGTTGTGGCAGTCAGAGCCCGAGTCGCGTTTCAATTGGAGAAATGGAGACAAAAGCTGCAGCTGGTGTAGCTGCTGGAATTGGCACCGCTAATGTTGCCAGGGCGGAGGATGTCGAGAAGTGGCATGCTGACTCTGTCAATGCTGGTCAATCCTCCGGCAGGACACGAGCAGCTGCTGAAAAACCAACGACCCAAAGGTACACAAAGCCACCCGGAATAGTCGTAGAAGGGGAAACAACTGCAGGAGCCCTAAGCCAACAACAGTTCGGCTATGTGTTGGCATTGGCAACTCAAACGGAAACAAAAACGGAAACGGAAACACAGCCAACTCCGAGTACAAGTCGGAAAGAGAATGAGAACGACAATCAGAATCAGAATGAGAATCAACGTGAAGAACAAATCAACAAAGCGGAAATATTTCGCTTACCAAAAAATTGTGTGTTGCAAAAAATTTTGAATTTGCAATTGCTGGTAAAGGTAAGCTAACCCCCAGCTGCACTCGGCCAGCCTCTGCCCGTCTGCTCCGCCCCTTGTTTATTTTTATAGCCAACTGTGGCAGATAGCCCTAGTTGCAGTTGGCTTTCTCTCAAAGTGCGCAGCCATTTGACAGGCAGCAGGGGGCGATCAGAAGTGGTCTCGAGAAGGCGGCTAAATGGCCCGTGGTGGGCAGTGAAGTGGCTTAGCTGAAGGTAACCATTCTTGGCACTTGCAGCAACACTTCGATTATATGTACCGAGCAAACTACGCCCGGCACTCGCGGCACACGTATGACGCGCTCAGAGGACTGCTGGCTCTGCCCGTCGCCGATGAACTGCAGCCGGAGCAGGCGTACCTGCTGGGAGCCACGGCCTTGGACTGCTCGATTATGTTCACATTTCAGGAAGTGGAACTGGAGTGTACGCCTGACCAGGAGTGAGTATTATCCACGCAATGGAGCAGTCCGGCTAATCCAATTTCGAATCCTTTTGCCGCAGCTTTGAAGCGGATCTGCTGCAGCCGTGGCTCGTCTCCCTGCTGGGTCATCACTTTCTAACGAAGCTCTCTGTGCTGGATTTGGATCCGAAGCCCGATAGTCACTTTCATAAATTCATAGAGCAGACATGTGAAATTGAAAAGTGCTGCCGAGCATTAAATTAATTAATAAAGTTTGCACACAACTAAAAGCCGCACGCATCGACTGTAGAGCGCCCATAACTGAGCTACGGTTTTTCCTGCTACATCAATTTAGTTCATTTTTTTCAGCTGCCTTTCTGTGCTCTTTTTTTGTAGCTCCCGCCAGGGTCTGGATCTGTGTCTGTGTCTGGTTCTGGTTCTGGGCTTGGGCCGGGGCCGGGGCCGCACCTCTAAAAACGGTTTTCACCGCAGCTTGACAGCGAAAAAGGCAGCAGCGGCAAACAAACCACAGGATACACGGCGCTGGTCCTGCTAGTGGCACCAACAGTGGTGAGAACGAGGGCGGTGCCGGTACCAGGATGGTTCTACTGGAACAAGGGGCAGTCGCTGCACAGCCAAGGGGTTCAACTATTAGATACCCGCTAATAAGCAGCGACTAAATGGTGGAATCTAACTGATTGGCTGTCACACATTGGGAGCACGGACTATGTCTAGGACTATGCAAAACATTATGTACTTCCAGACAGTAGATGGACGTTTAGCGAAACAATATAACCTGCTGGAGCTGGGAGTGCAGGGTATGTAAATGGAATGGCACGCCGTGAACACTCCTTAATTAATTTCCATGCGAATGCGGGCGCCATAAGCGGGAAAGGCGCCGCAGGATGTGTCCAGAGCGGGGCCACTGGAGCTATGCAAACTTATGGTGTAGGAGGACGTTGGCACTGGCCCCCGCCTTTGGCAAGTGTCAGTCGGTTTTCGCGCTCGAAGCTAACCAGTTTGGCCGGCGACGTCTGCAGAAACGGCATCGGCGTGGACAGGAACGATGGGCAACAAAGTCGTGACATTCACCGAGCAGCAGCTGGATGACTACCAGGTGTGCTTTCCATCCATCAGTTATACCATTTAGAAGGGAACGACCTTCACTCTAACTTTAATTCATTGCTTCATTTGCTTCGAAAGGATTGCACGTTCTTCACGCGCAAGGAGATTCTACGGTAGGCCATTTGTATCCCCATAATAAGCCAGAACTATTCCATTTCACATGAGCCACACAAAGCACCGCCCGCCCGCCATTGTTGGCAGCATCCCATTGTTCAATAAGAACAACAGCAAAAACAACAAAGAAAAGGATGATACACACGCACAGACAACAGACAATAGCGAACAGCGAACAGAGAACAGAGAACAGACTCGTCGACACAAAGCCTGACATCGCCTGTTATCCGCATCCATCCCAAAATAGTGCCTCCCACTCACACTTCGTTCCTCTTTTACAGCGTCCACAAACGGTTTCGTGAGCTACGTCCGGACTTGGTACCCCGCCAAATGACTGAGGGTCAGGCCTCAAGTGTCAAGGTTCCCTGCGAGTGCATTGAGAAGATGCCCGAGTTGCGTGAGAATCCCTTTCGACGTCGCATCTGTGAGTAACAAAAGACCGATCCAATGCATGCAAAAGCGGAGCAGAGCGGGTTTGCTCCATTCACGCCCATCCTTTACCGGACTAAACCAATCATCCATTTAACAGGCGAGGCCTTCTCACGCGATGGCCAGGGCAATCTGTCGTTTGAGGACTTTCTGGACGCTCTCTCTGTCTTCAGCGAGCAGGCGCCAAGGGACATTAAAGTTTTCTACGCTTTCAAAATTTATGGTAAGTGTTGGCCTCCTCTTTTCGGCCAACTTGGTTGTTGTGCAGCTCCAGTTTCAGTTTCAGTTTCAGTTCCTGCTGCAACTCCATTCCCCTGCCACTGCTGCGGCTACTCCTACTTCTCCGGCTGTGGATGTGGCAAGGAGAGGCACTTCTGGTGTTGGCCAGCATTTTCCGGTTTTGTTTATGCATTTCCGCAGACCGTGCTCATTGTCGTTGTTGGTTCTAGCTTTCGAGAGGAGTGTGTCCTTTGTGTCTCTGGCATTTACATGGAACGCATGGAACTCGCAGCTCTGTAATTTGTGGCGCTGTGCCAGGCAGCTCTTGCTTCAGTTGTTGCAGAGCGTCCTTGGTGCAGGCAAGGACAGCCAGGGTTCAAGGACAGCCATAAATTCTAATAAGCATTTTAATTGAAATTTAAATTAGAATCTCAAAAATGCCACCATAAAAGTAGGTCCACCAAAACTTTGTGCAAATTGATTGTGCACTTGGCACTCCAAATTAATGGCCAAAAATCCACAGCCCAGAGACAGAGAATAAAAGGGAGAGAGAGAGAGAGTGGCACGGACGATCAATACGTTCAAAGTGTCCCTCAGGTCGAGTGCATGTAACATTTTTTGGGTAAACTACTTTCAGAACTCAAGGTAGTCCGAGACGAGCATGCACGAGCTCATAGGCAGAGAAAGAGAATTTACTGCACTCCGGCACTTTATTTCAATGTGCATTATTAGATTGACACAAATTGAAACGTGCAGCAAGCGATTACCTTTACGAAAATATGTATGTATGTAGGAGATTGCACAGCAAACTTCGTTTGGCACACATCACTTGACTTTTGTGCCAGAATATGTCAAGTTTTGTAAGACATTCGCCCACCAACCCAATCCACCATACTGAATGTGTGTGTGTTCTTACTTATACTTACGTATCTGGCATAACTTTGCAGATTTCGATCAGGACGGCTTCATTGGGCACGCCGACCTCATGTCCTGCCTGACGACAATGACCAAGAACGAACTGAGTCCGGAGGAGCACCAGCAGATTGCGGACAAGGTAATCGAGGAGGCCGACGTCGATGGCGATGGCAAGCTATCAATTTTGGAGTTCGAGCATGTCATCCTCCGTGCCCCCGACTTCCTCTCCACCTTTCACATCAGAATATAAAATTGCCGCTCGTTTGTACTTGTTTTATTAAATTGTTTATGTCTGAGCATATCGCATAAAACTGCCATCAGTGTGATTAAGTTGGGTCCATGGCTGCAGGCTCCACCCCAGTCCGGCAGTCAGGCAGTCAGGCAGCAGGCAGCGGGCTCCATGGGCCAATTGTCGTGACAATATGCATGTCAAATGTCATGCGAGCATTATAAAATTTATAAGCCCATGTATGCAGTCGGATCGAATTCTGGTGTGGTCTGCACTGCTCTTTACTGCTCAGCGCTCTGACCCCAATCGAGCAGACTGGCCCCGTGTCATTGCCAATGGACAAATGCCGTTCTGCCCTCTTGCCACACACACATGAAGCCACACACACACACGGAGAGTCTGTGTGTGCACTGTCAGAGTTTTATCAATTTTGCCAATTTTCAGCTTAAACTTGTTTGGCAGTCGAGCAGCTTGCCACCCGATCCCATTCAATTATTGTAATTGCAGCACCATGGACAAAGGGAAGTCTGGCATGCATCTTCTGGGTCAGATTCCGATAAGGTAAAATAATTGCAGCAGATCGTTGGGACAGTGCCTGAACCATCAGAGTTCTGGTATGCCATGAAATGAGTGTACTGCTGCTATGCAAATCACGTTCAATAATTAATTTAGTTTACTTTTTAATAATACGCATAATTACATACATATTAAATGTTTTGTTCGGTTTTTGTTTAGTTGGATTTAAAGTTAGGCTTATTCGATACAAGAAAGTCTATTACAAGTATGCAATAATCGTATGCACGTATACGATATACATACGTGTTATTTATATATATATATCTTTTGTAGTTGTATAATTTGTAATTTGCAATTGGTAATCGTAAAAGTAATTCGTGGAATGAATGCGCAATCTGAAACAGATTCAGATTCAGAATTGAGCCGCGTGGCGTGGCGTCGCGTCTGGTCTGAATGCCACAAACTGGCAGACAGACAGACAGACCGTATTTTCCTATAGTTTGGTTTTTATTTCATTTCATTTTATATTGCATATGCTGGTATCGTATGGTTAGATCAAGTGATAGCAACGGAACAGAACAGAACACAATAGAACACTGCCTATACACAAAAACAACAACACTTACAAAAGTATACATAGCTCTACTTACATACACTCACTCCTACTAGAATAAGTATGCCTAAGTACAATATACGAACTAATTACTAAGAGCTAAGCGGAGAACTCGGAGAGAAGTTCCCTTTGCCGAAAAATTATTGTGACGTGACGCGTTACGTGAGACGACGCATCGAAGAAAGGAACGCTCTCAATTCCGTAAGATAATTTTTACAATTTTCGTATACTCGCACAATAAATGTTATTTATATTTAGTGTCTAGATATTTGTATGTATTGCATATGCTGGAATACGAGTGGGTATAGTGTCCGTGTGGATGGGATGTGCGTGTGCTTATGGCTCTATTTTGTTTTGGAATACATTCATAGAGATATACTAGTTTTCCTTCTACCTACATAGTACTCCTATAATCGTGGGTGTTCAACAACTTGGGTTCCTCTTAGGTTGCCGCCGTCTCAAGCTTTGTTTCTCGTATACATCGTTTACATTCATTATAGTCTTTTAAGTCTAAAATACACTCTCTGCCCGAAGGATGGGATGGGATGGGATTCCTCTCCGGTCGGTCATCCAAGAAATCGGAAACAAACAACGAAAACACATCAATTGTACAATACTCTAAACATAGGTTGTTTTGGTTATCTTATAACGCTTCGCTCCCATTGCCAGTGGCACCCTAGAAGTCGTGGTTGCCGCAATTGGTAAAACCGTAATCCGAAAAGCTTTCAAAGCTTTTCAACAAATTTCAGTACACCGAATTGTGGTGCTCGTAGTTGTTGTGGGCGGCTGCGGCGTGGTGCAAGTAGGATGGGATGGCTGTGGCATTTAGTTCCGAGGCTCGCCGCCGCAGCGCTGCAATGCTGTGTCCTCGCCACACGTCCTCGTCGGTGGCGCCGTCGGTGGGCGACTGCATCGACTGGTGGCAATGGAGTCCTTCCTGCTGTTGCTGCTGCTGCTGCTGTGATGGCGTCGGCGGAGCCATCTGTGGGAAAAGTTTTGAAAGTTTCCGAAGCTTCAGTTGCTGTTGTTGGCTTGAAGAAAGCTCTCGGGGGGTGTTTTCGTTACCTGCTGCTGTTGGTGAGTTTGCTGCTGCTGCTGCTGTTGTTGGTGAGTTTGCTGCTGCTGTTGCTGTTGGTGAGATTGCTGCTGCTGCTGTTGTTGGTGAGTTTGCTGCTGCTGTTGCTGCTGGTGTAGCGGCTGCAAGGGACAATGAAACTCAACATGGCGGTGGGAGTCTCGGCTAACGGGAGGAAGGAAACTCACCATGGGCTCGCCACTCAGCTCATTCTGACTGGCGTTTGGCTGCGTGGAGATGGGCGGTGGGGTCACCGAGGAGCAACTGTTCATGTTCGGCGGCGTTGTGGCGCTCGGGGAGCCGCTCGGCCCGCAGGCTACCCCGCCCACACTGTGCTGGTACATCATGGAGTCGCCTGGAGGGAGAGGGAGAACACACCCAGATTAATGGCTGCCTTTGTCTCTATGATTGGTGCAAGGCTGCAGGCAGCACAGCACCCGATTTCAAGTTCCAAATTTTAAATTCCAACAAAAAAGTGTAACAATGAAAACTTTGCTGCTGACAGCCAAAAAACATGTCTCCAAAATTTCAATTAGCACAACTATACGAAACCAAACAAACGAAACAGAAGACCAACGAAATGCCTTTGGGTATTCCTGAAAATTAGGCGACTGTCCGCTAATTGATCGAACAAATAAGCAGCCAGGCCAGCAGTCCCGCAGTACGGCGGTACATGGCATTATAATAAACCTTATATTTGGGGCTAAGCTACCGAAAAAAGTGTTATGAGTTCAAAGAAATGGTGTCGTGTCTGGTCAATTGTCGGGCGAACTGAAACTGGAACTGGAACTGGTAATGGATTGTACGCATCGAACGCTGAGCAAATAAATCGAAAGAAGGAAACGAACGACAAAGCAAAATAAACCAAACGAAAAAAGTGTCAACGCTTCTCTTTTGTTAATCGAAAGTCAGATGGAAAATTTTCGCGGCATGTGATGGCTCAGAGCATTCTGATATGGCGGAGGAAGGATGAGGGGCGGCAGGTAGTTTGACGAAAAAACACCTACCCAAAGCATTGAGGCCGTAGTGCTGATAGCTGCCCGCCCCCAGGGCGGAGCCCATGTTAATGCCCGAGTTGAGGCCGCTGTTCAGCGAGGAAGAGAGCGGCGACGACTGATTCAGCTGGCCAAAGCCTATTCCCAATTGCAGCGATTAGTAGGGGATGATCCACAAGATACGAGAGTTAGTAGCAGTGGCGAGGGGCCTGGGCCGGTGTCCACTCACCTGCCGTCATGGGATTGACGCCCACACTCCAGCGGTCGCCGCCAAACATTCCGGTGCCGCAGAGACCATCGCCCATCGCGATGTTCGTAATGTTGGCCCCAAAGGGCGGTAGTCCGTGCGAGGGCAGCAGGGCGCCCGGAGTGCGGAAGACATTGGTGGTCTTCTTGCGCTTCTTCCACTTGGCGCGACGGTTCTGGAACCACACCTGGAAAAGAGTAATGAAAGATGGAATTAGCAATGCAGAAAATGTCACAAAATGTCAATAAAACAAGTCCGAGTATCTGTAATCCAAGTTATTTATGCTATACTGGAAATTTCTTAAGGTATAGTTCAGTTTTGTGTGGCAGTTTTGTAACTGTGTTTCTTCTCCTTATTAAACAGTTGCCACCCCACGGCGAACAACACACCCAAACCCCACTACAAAGTCTGCCTCCGACATGGTCTTAATCGAGATCAATTACCGTCGTGACAGTCGAAACACGTCTCGACACACAACACAGATAAACGCACACACATATGTACACATAGATATGGTACAAGCAGATTTACATGCGCATAAATTCCATATGTAAATTCTTCAGCTATAGGCAGAGAACAAGGCAATCAGCTATTTGGCCCCAACCCCAAACACAGACCCTCTCCAACCTGTTCCGCATCTTTGGTCATCGGTAGGACAATGTCGGGACAGGAGAACTGCCCCTTCGATACGCTTTTGTCTTATGGCCGGAGAGGTCGTAACCGTAGCCGTAGCCGTAGCCCGTGTCGGATGTGTTCTGTGTTCGCTTCAAATTGGCATTTCCATATGCATAAGAACATCGGAGCCGGGCCCCGCAGACATGTTGAGGTTTTGACATTTACAAGGCAGAACACAAGCACTGCACTCCACACATCCATACGCACACACAAGCACCGGATCGGGAGGATGGATAGCCAAAGTGTTGACTATATCTAGGGGCTAGACCATGTGGAGATCCTGCGATTGGAATATCTCAACTTTTAACTTTCTATAGTGTCTTTTTAGTTGGGGGTTTTTTTTTGCAGATTTTCACAAACTTTCAGCAGGTGGAAAATGAGAGAAAATAAAGTGCCAGTGGAGTGAATGACTAGTGACATGAAAACGTTTTTGCCGCCATCAAGGCATCAAGGCGTCAGGCCAGGACGTTCGCATCCACATCACTCGAAAGTCGGGTTGACAACTTAACCGTTGTATGTATACGCACACACACACACACACACACACCTTTACCCACCACTCTGCTACACATATAGTACATACATACAGTTATATAGTATTTATAAATCCCAACATTCGTGGCAAATCTTGAGCTGTCACCGACTGTCGACTGTTTCTGTCTGAGTGCGCCAGACTAATGGCAAAGGAATACCAGGACCAAACACAGAGCCACAAACAGGCAAGACAAGGACAGTGAATATGTAAGAGGCGAAAGAGTGAGAGTGAGAGAGAGTGAGCCAGTCTGAGTGAGAAAGAAAATGGCAAGTTTGGCGCAAAGTAACTTTGCTTGTAAGGCCTGCCTGATGCTTTTGACTTCAGATGGTCCCGGGGGGGTTTGTCATATGTCGGACAATGGCAGGAACCACCGAAGAAACTCTACTCCCTTCCCCTCAACCGAACGGAACTGGACTAAGCTAAACCGAAATGAACTATCACAGGTTGGCTAGATGGTGCACCAGGGACGCTAATGTGCCACATTGTGAAAGGGATACAGGGTCGTGGCATGTCGGGAAAGCACTGGGCAGGGGTACCCTGGCAAGGGGAAGGGGAGTAACGTCGCTGGGGTAAGGGTGTGTCGGCGACCTTGACTTGTTTATGTTTTTTACGTGTTTATGCCTCGCCCTCTATTCATTAACTTTTAATTTAATAATTTAAGACAATGTCTGACTGTCTGCACGCCCTCCTTCTCCACGCTCTCATTCTCATTCTCACTGTCTCTCACTGTCTCTCTCTGGCTATCTCTCTCGTTCTGTACCACTTACTCTGCCTCTTTCTGGCGCATTGAGTTTGGCAAATTAAATATGCTTGCTGCTTTTATTTTGCTTGCCACTTTCGTTCGTGTGTGCCGTGCCGTGCCGTGCCGTGCCACAACACACCTACAAAGAAGCGCGCGGAGCGCGAACGGAAAGAAGACTGCGGAGCGGAAGAAGGGGAAAGGAAACACAGGAAGAAGACAACAGCAAAAAGCAAAAGTCATTGCCTTCCGTTGGCCTCTGGTCTAAGGGCTGAGAGAGCCATTAAATTGGCATAACGTGCATGACGTGC